CTTCTGAGATCGGGCCTGTCTATCGGTGGCTGTCATCCCTCTACACCTGCTCCTCCTTACTTCTCCCCGCGTCCCTGTGCCGATCGTGGATGTGGGCGGGCGGTGAGCGTGAGGCAGGGAGGAGGTGCGGCGTGTGGAGCGGGCGAGTCTGGCGGCAAGCGTGAGGTGGGGAGAAGGTGCGGCGCGCAGCGTGTGTGGAGCCGTGAACAGGGCCAACTATTCGGAAGCCGATTTAATCGATGATTGAAAACGTTGATGACTTTTTTCAATAATCGATTATAATCGATATAGTCGATTTAGTTGTTGCAGCCCTATACCGATACCTTTTTTTTTTTATTTGTGTGTGTCATGTGACTTTTTTTTTTCTTTCTTTCTAAAACAATACAGACTAATGATTTTAGGACAGTGGTGGAGCACCAGGGCCCAGTCACAGCTGCAACCGCTGCCACCATGGTAGTTCTGCCACTGACTCCAAGCTGTAGATGAACTACACATCCCAGCAATACATTATACAGCAATGCAGAATGACACCAGCTATAGAGAACTACAAATCTCAGCAACACGTTATACAGCAATGCAGAATAATAGCAGCTATAAAGGTCTACACATCTCAGCAATACATTATACAGCAATGCAGAATAATACCATCAGCTATAGAGGACTACAGATCGCAGCATTACTATGATTTGAATAATTAAAGTGCTAATATCAGTTTTTGGTATCGGAGTATTTGCATGAGTACCATACTGATACTGGTATCGGTATTGGTGCATCTGTAATTTCTATAAATGTAAGTTTCTATAAAAGACCTTTCCTGGAGTTATACTTTAAATGGAGGAGCTGTTTGCAGCAGTCAGACAGGTTCTAGCTGATATTATTTGAGGGGTTTTTGTATGAATTAAATAGTTGTCCTACTATACATTAAACAAATTGCCCAAGGAGACTAGGAATAAAGAGATGTAATGAGTATGATCTGAGAAAAGACGCAATTACCTTTTTTTTTTTATTGTATACATATAGGTTCAAAAAAGTTACTAGTGTGCCTCCCCTACCAAAGGGAGAGATCCAGTTGTGCAGACACAATAATAGTTAAAAGAAAAAAGCGTGTGTAAGGAAATGTCTCAGTGGACCCAGCATGTGGCAGTTACAGGAAACTTACATTATACGCTACCTCGTCAACTCCTCCCATGCTCGCCTCCAGGACTTCTTGAGTCTCTCCCCTCCTCTGGAACTCTTTACCCCAACCTGTCCGATTTATCTTCCACTCGGACTGCCTTTAGGCGATCACTAAAGACTCATCTCTTCAGGGAAGCCTATCCCACCTCAACCTAACCACTCAACCATCACGTTATAACACAATTCATCCCCACACAGCTACCTCCTCATGTATCACTTCCCCCTCCCTTTTAGATTGTAAGCCCTCAGGGGCAGGGCCCTCACCATCTTGTCTTGAATTGTATTGTGATTGTAATGTCTTCCTTTATATTGTAAAGCGCTGCGCAAACTGCTGGTGCTATATAAAACCTGTATAATAATTGAATATTCAAGAATATCAATATTCTGAAAAGGAGATGCATTGATTGATGTAGGGGAGCTGAGAATTAGCGATGACTCCTTGGGGGAAATTTATCATGGCAATTGCGAGTGTTTGAACTGGCACGGAAAATATTTGCACCAGATTTATGATGCCAGTGCAATGTTGTTGATAAATTAGGTTTAATAGACTCCAAGAAAGACTTGTAACTTCAGGCAAAAAGCTGAACTGTCGCATCTTGAAGAAGTGGCCATGGGGACTTCTCAAGTTGTGATTGTTTTCTTAGGTGATTCCCCAGTTTCATACAGCCCCAGAACAAGTGCAGATGAAAAGACGTGCAAAAAAGGTGCAAAAAACATGCAGTTGAAAAAGTAGTGCAAGCTCTGAAGAAAACAGGGGCATATGTTAAAAGACAGATTTACACATAAAAACCTGTTGCAAGTGCTTTGATAAATTCCCCCCTCGTCTGCTTTGTGTTTTGCCATTAGACTTTTACATCATTCTGTTTTAAGCAGCTGAGACATCCTCTAGAGACAGTTGTAGCAATCATTAGTCGTTGGAATTAGCAGTTTTTACTTCCACAGTCACAAATGAACCGCACTGGCTTCCTCTAACCCCCTCTAATCTGCTGTAATTAGTGGCATAATGGCAAGGATGTAGGACTGGGAGGTGCAGTCAGATGCATAAAGCTGTGTGGTTTGAGTGAAGGTCAGCTGCACAAGTCTTAAGCAGAGTATACACTGGTAGATTTTCATACGAATGTTCATGCAAAAAAAATCTCTTTTCATTTTTATTTTCTATTTTGCACTGAATGGAGTTCCTCTAACAAAAAAAAACCACTCGCCGCAAGAATTTTGTTTTTTTTTAGATGCAAAATTCTCCATTCTGCTCCAATTTTTCCCTCAATTATTTGTGGTCAAAAACGATTGCCGATTTGACCCAATTAACTATTAGAAAAACACGAACGTTCCGGAAACTTCTGCTGGTGCATGGCCAGCTTTAGATATCTAGGATAGATAACTCCTGGAGTGGATGGCTCTAGAATGAAATAGTCCACCCTCCTTATTCTCCAAATATGTTATTGTGTAACTACTAATACAGCCTTTCTCAACCTTTTTACTCCAGGAGAACCCTTGAAATTATTTTCAGGTCTTAGGGAAGCCCTGCTGAAACGTATACGTTTGCGTCAGTGGGACCCACTGACTCAAACGTATACGTTTTAGCAGGGGTTCCCTAAGACCTGAAAATAATTTCAAGGGTTCTCCTGGAGTAAAAAGGTTGAGAAAGGTTAAGGATGGAGGGAAGAGTGCCACCTGTGCCGGGGTTTGGAAGAGTGCCACCTGTGCCGGGGTTTGGAAGAGTGCCACCTGTGCCGGGGTTTGGAAGAGTGCCACCTGTGCCGGGGTTTGGAAGAGTGCCACCTGTGCCAGGGTTTGGAAGAGTGCCA